CTTCTTCTTCTTCTTCTTCTTCTTCTTCTTCTTCTTCTTCTTCTTCTTCTTCTGCTCCTCCTCCTCCTCTTCCTCCTCCTCCTTCTCCTCCTCCTCTTCTTCTTCTTCTTCTTCTTCTTCTTCTTCTTCTTCTTCTTCTTCTTCTTCTTCTTCTTCTTCTTCTTCTTCTTCTTCTTCTTCTTCTTCTTCTTCTTCTTCTTCTTCTTCTTCTTCTTCTTCTTCTTCTTCTTCTTCCTTACCTCACACGTCCAGTTTGACAGGAACCATAATTCTCCTCCACAAAACTCCCGTCACATTTCCCCGGTTATTCCCCGTTCTCTCCCACAGAACGGCGTCTTGTCCTCAGTTCCCTACCTTGCCATGATTGTCACAGTGCTGCTCTCTGGCCACCTCGCAGACTGCTTACGTCACAGATACCTCAGCACAACACACACACGCAGGCTCTTCCAGTCTCTCTGTACGGTACAAGTAGAAGTATAGCCATGATGATTATTGTAATCGTAAATGGTGGTGATGATGGTATAGTGATAATGATTGTGGTAATGATGATGATGATAACAACAGAAATGAAAACATTAATAATAATAATAGTAATAGTAGTAAACAACAACAAAAACAACAACAATAGTAATAATATTATTATAATAAGAAGAAATAATTATAAAAAAGATAATAATAATAATAATAATAATAATAATAATTATAATAAATAATAATATTAATGATAGTAATAATAATTGTAATAATAATAATAATAATACAGTCGAACCTGTGTAAGACAACCATGGATTGTCGAGGGAAAAAGTGGCCCTATAAGACAGGTGGCCATCTTAGGCATGACTAATTTTAAAAATCCAACAACTATTTACTCCTGAGGTCCCACCGAACTGGATGTGGTTGCATACTTAGGACTGACCTAGGGCTGATTAAAATGTGTTGTTGTTGTTGTTGTTGTTGTTGTTGTTGTTGTTGTTGTTGTTGTTGTTGTTGTTGTTGTTGTTGTTGTTGTTGTTGTTTTCTTTTGAAAGGGGAGAGGATACGACGGTTTTTATGAGACGTTTTGTTAGTTAGTTTTATTTTTATTTTTAAATTATGATTCCGGGAAAGGTAAAAACAAAAAGAAATATTTCACACGAGGAAGGCCAAGTATCATAGTAAAACAAATAAATGGGTCACCACCATTCGGTGAACGAGCAACATTTCTGTCGCGAGTTTGTGTTGACTTCAATTGTTATGGATTTGGTTTACAGAGTGAGTTGTAGGCGGGCCTTATAGGTAATGACGGATCACACGCTTTCCTTACCAGTAGCTGAACATTTATTGTTACCCATTGGTCAACTTGGGTAAACATTGGGAGTGACTTAAGCAATATGACCGTTTCATCCATTGGAGGGACTGACAACAACGAAAGGTGAATGAATTATGACGGCTTGTCCTCAACATCAGGGGAAAATGATAATTTGTGACAAAGTATGGCAGCCTTAGGCGGGTAGATTTGGCCGTTGGTTGATAAAATAGGGTGGCCACGGCCCCTTTGGAGAGGTGCCCGTTTTACACAGTTAAATTATATAGAAAAAACGCAAGGGGGGAAATGGAAGGTGGCCGTTTGTACAAGTGGCCGTCTTATAGAGGTGGCCGTCATAATAATAATAATAATAATAATAATAATAATAATAATAATAACAATAATAATAATAATAATAATAATAATGAAAATATTATTAATAATAATGATAATTTTTCACACTGTCATCTCTCTCTACCACTTTTTTTTCTCTCCCCCCCCCCTCTCTCTCTCTTTCTCTCTCTCTGTCTGTCTGTCTCTCTCTCTCTCGCTCTCTCTCTCTCTCTCTCTCTGACTACCCCCCCCCCCTCGTTTCCAGCGTTCCTTGGTTCAGGTGCCTGTATCGTTGCCGTGGGTTTCATCGACTGTGAGAGACGCTCTCTAGCCGTTGTCGTTCTCACTCTCGCCGTGGCCTTAGAGGGGCTGAGCTATGCTGGGTATATGGTCAACCAAGTGGATTTTGCTCCCAGGTGAACGCTTATTTGTGTGTATTTGCGTACGTGTTTCAATGTAATTGTTTTGTATTTTCTAACTTGTGTGCATGTATTTGTTTGTATTTATTGCTAACTCGCTTGTATTTGCTAATGTGATTGTGTTTGCCAACGTGTTTCCTTGTATTTGTTTCGATTTGCTTACGTGTTTGTAGGTATCTCTTAAACCCTGATCTGAAGGTTGGTAAGATCGAGCACATAATCTTCTCGGAAAAGGAGAAAAAAATCAAAGATTTCCCATGTGCACATTGCGCACGTTAAAGATCCCCTGGTGGTTGAAAGTCGTAGAGTAGTAGGCCGCATTAGGCTGCCTCTAGGGAACATTCTAAATTTTTAAAAATCTTACCCTGAAGAATATCCCTGTCACACCTGTAAAAAAAAAAGACTTACCCTTACACATTCCTTGATTCTCTCAAATAAAAACGTAAATCAGAAGTATAAGACTTAGGCTTCTGATCTGTAACAAAGAAAGATACAGAAGGTCCTTTTTACCATCATCCATCAAAATTCTTCCATCTTAACCATCTTGTATAAGTGTTCTTACGACCTTAGAACATGCATCAGAATAACACTGAGTATGTATCTAGCTTAAGATTATTATTGTTTATATTGCAGCTCATTTATATTATGCATGTAATTGTAAGCCTGCGTGTGTGTGAATGAGTGTGTGTGTGTGTGTATGTGTGTGTGTGTGTGTGTGTGTGTGTGTGTGTGTGTGTGTGTGTGTGTGTGTGTGTG